TTATTTGACCCTTGTTATGGACCAAACTAAACTATATTGGCTATTTTATAAAATAGAGTAGGTTTTGGAATCCAAAAAAACCTTCTAGAAGATTATAGAAGACTAAAATCAATCCTAATCGCATTAGGAATGATAAATCAATAATAGGCCCTCTTCTAGATCATTGGGCTGCATATAAAAATCAAATCGGGCCCAGTTAAGTAATTTTGCCATGACTTCCTCATTATTCATCGGAATTGGGCTTATAATATATCGTTGGAAAGCTTTTTTCGAACCCGACCCAACTACACCATTATTGGACCCTTGCCATGGACCAAAACAAACTGGATTGGATGTTTTCTTAAAATAGGTTTTCAAAAACAGAGAGAAAGAAAAGAAATAAAAACTAACCGCAACACTAGACTTTCCACACTTTCACTTCATTCTGTTATGATTCTACGTAAAAGGTACTCATCACTGGGTTTAGTTTTTGGGAGACAAAAATGTGTGTCTACAGAAGCCCCCACTTTGACTGAGTTTAGAGAAACGCAAGTTTCAAAAACAAAAGTCAAAGTATCGATAGGGACGGAGAATGATTAAGAACGTTCTGCGATCCTAAATCATTCTTGTGACACTAGTAGAAAAACGTACATTTGCGTCGCCATATTTGCGTCACTCATTAGAAATAATGAAGCAAATGTTAAATTTTACCATCCTGAAAAGTTATTTGCGTTGTATATTTATCAAGAAGCGACGCAAATAACTGTTGTATTGCAGATTTTTATTATTTGCGTCGCTCTTATTTATTGAAACGACGCATATAATAATCTTATTTGCGTCACTCATTTATTGACCAGTGACGTAAATGAGTGACTGAATAAATTGCTTCACTCTTTTAATAAATGAGCGACGCAAATGACTAATGTACAGCATTATGTTTTTGTTATTTGCGTCGCATTTTAATAATGAAGTGACGCAAATATATCTTTTGCATTTAGGTTATTTCAGAATTTTGACCTTAGTTTTTCACGCCTACTTTCCACTAAACAAAAAGAAAAAAACAAGTTGCTACTCCAGTGAATTTCTACAGCCAAAACACCCACAAATTCGACCCTTAAATCCAACAAATTCGGCCAAAAAAACACCGATTCCTCAGCAAATTCAACATTCAAAATCGCAATCAAGTTGAAGATCTTTAATCGGCAGCAAATTGAGCAATTTCGAGCAAAAATTTGGACCAAAAACTCTAAGAAATCCGAACCCATAAACCCCAGAAAAATTGAGCATTTCCCACAAAAATTCCCCCATTTTGAGCAAAAAATCTAATCAAAACCATAGGAATTCGAACCCTAGAAACCCCAAAAAATTCAATTAAAAATCCTAGCCTCATATTCGAGCAATGACTAAAAGTTTCGATTGGAAAAATCAATTAATTTCGCCCCCAAAAAACCCGAGGAAGTTCTAGCAAATTACAGCAACAATAATTGAAGTTTGATTAGTGTAGAAGTTCGACATTGTTGAATTTGTTAAGTTTATTTCACCTAAGGTAAGATTTCTTGTATTTAGTGAAGTTCTATTTTTTTCCGTCCAATTCATTAGTTCTGTTCTAGGGTTTTTTTAATTTTGTTTGTGTTTCTGTAATGCGAAAACATTTCATGAAATTGAAGTCATAATTGTTATAGAACTCAGAATATGGTTTGAGGGAATGGCTCATTCATTTAGTTTAAAATGCAAAATATAATTTCTGAAAATGGTTTGTAGTTTTGTTCTCTGAAAATGTGTTGAAAATGTCAATGAAAATGTCAAAAAGTATTGAGAATGTTACAAAAGTTAAGTGATAACATATCAGTACATAATCTGATGAAGAGACTAGAAAACGCTTACTTATTTTGATCTTAGTTAGAACACTCATAAGAGATCAGAATCTATAGATTGAGACAATCATCATCGCGATCAACAGAAGTTAGCTTCTGTCATTCTGATCTCAAGCTGACTAATAATGATATAAGTATATATGTACATATAGTCTATATCCTCTGCTAGATTATTGTTATGTATGACTCTGATTTATTAGGTTTCGCCAAAGCTTTAAAGAATATGGCATCCTTATGATCATTGGCAGCTTTGATCATCCAACTTAGCTATGTTTGAGTTAGTACTTGAAGGCGTCGAAGCTAAGGATCAAATGAGCAAATTGCTAAATGATGCATGAAGCTTTTGTTCCTTCAATGTTGGTTTAATTCTCTAAAAGAAAAAAAAAACTATGTTGGTTTAATATATGTAATTTTTTATGGCAGATTCATAATTATGCGGAAGTGAATTCCACAAGTTGCTCGAGGTTCTGGTTGTGGACAAACGATTAAGGCGGTAGTATGCATACGAGATTGTCTTCACTTGTGGGATATATATCTGAAGCATTCTTTGCAATATTAACTTATTGTCCTGGTTGGTATAATGATTGTGAATTGTATGAGATTTTTAATTGTGATATAATTGATTGAAATTGCAATAATACTTGCATCATTGGCTTAGATACTCGTTCAGGGCTTACTCATTAGGAGTAAGTCTTGAATAGTCCCCGGTTTGGGACTGTTCTTGAATGTTCTATCTCATTTAGGTGATAACTACTTGAACTGTTTTTGGGTCTAAGAAGATCATGGCTCACTATTTCCCGGTTGTTCTCTGGGTACATATGTAGATAGCCGATTATCTACATTGTGTGCTTGGAGAACTATAGGGAAATGCTGCCGGATTTTCTTTAGAACCAAACTTTACAAGTAGTTATTAGTGAGATAGGACATTCAAGAATGGGTTAGGTTGGAGTGATAAGGACCTTATTGGATCATGTCGTTGCATTTACATGAGATAAACTTTGAATGGAAATGTTTGATGCCTTATATTCTTGTTTATGGTTAAGGAGCTATATATGTTAGAAAATATACACATTATCTTAAAATTAATTTTGTTATTCAGTGGTTGAAAATGGATCGAAGTTGGATGTATGGTAAACGAAATTGTACAAGTTTTTTACGAGGAATTGAAGAGTTTAGCACTGTTGCCTTAAAACACCAAACAGAGAATAAATCAAAGATTATTCTTTGTCCTTGTTGTGACTGTAATAATTCGAGGGGATATTGTGATATAGTTGATATTAAAGATCATCTAATTCGTCGTGGGTTTAAAGAAAACTACACAAGGTGGACATGGTATAATGAGAGCATATATATTGAGGCAAGTTCTAGTTATTGTCCAAGGGAAGATGATAATCATTGTGATGATAATAATGAACACCAAGGTGAGGACATCAATACAGCTGATATTGGTGTTGAAAGTGAGAGTGAAGTGGAGAAGGACAGGATAGATGAAATGATGCATGATGTTGAAGACCATTTCACAGAGTGTCCCCAGACATATGATAGTATTTTGAGAGCTGCAGAAACCCCGTTATATCCTGGTTGTACAAAGTTCACTAAACTTGGTGCTATTATGAAGTTATTCAACATAAAGGCGAGCAATTGTTGGACCGACAAGGCTTTTACGCAGTTGTTAGAAGCCTTAGTAGAAATGTTTCCCGAAGGGAATGAACTTCCAAACTCCACCTATGAGGCCAAGAAACTTATGTGCCCCTTGGGTATGGAGTATGAGAAGATATATGCTTGTCCTAATGACTGTGTGTTGTATCGAATTGAGTATGCTGATTTTCATGAGTGTCCAAGGTGTGGAGTTTCTTGTTACAAGATGAATGATACTGGTGAGTTGTGTAAGAAAGGGTCTCCGGCTAAGGTATTATGGTATCTTCCAATTATACCGAGATTTAGGAGACTCTTCTCGGATGAAAAACTGCAAAATTAAGCATGCTTGTCCCAATGACTGTGTGTTGTAAAGAATTCTCCACCTATGATACTGGTGAAGATACATGCTTGTCCCAATGATTGTGATACTGGTGAAGATACATGCTTGTCCCAATGATTGTGTGAAGAAACATGCTTGTCCCAATGACTCAACCTATGATACTGGTAAAGATACTGCAAAAACTCCACCTATGATACTGGTGAAGATACATGCTTGTCCCAATGACTGTGTGTTGTAAATAATTATCGGTTCCAGTTCCTTATTCAGTCATCATGAAACTAAAGCATGCTCACGGTACATTTACCCAATGGCCGAAAGACTTGGTTTCACTCATGCATGACAAGGTAAATTATTTTTGTAACAATTTACTTATAGTTTTCCATACAAAATATAGCAAATTGTTGAATAGGTTTGCTTTACTATTGATTAGGAATTCATATCAAATAAGAACGATGATAACAACAAAGCGTCCAAAGAAAACATGCAAGACAAACTGAAAGTAGTTGAAAGTGGTCACGAAACAAAAGAGTCCAACACCAATCCAAAAAACGTTTTTCTTATGGATTATGCTTTGGAAAACTTGTCTCAGAAGTGTGGGTCTTTGAATAGTTTGTTATCTTCATTACCCAAAGGTGAAACTATTAAGGTAAAGGTTGATGCTTGGACCTTTAGTTATGAAGATAGTAAGGACATCATTATCAGACGTGAAGATGTCAATCAACTTCTCACGGGAGCTTGGCTGAATATTTCAGTTTTGCAAGTTTTTATGATGTAAGATATTCAAATTTTACTCTTCCCATATATACTTAACCTATTTGAAGCTTGGTCTTTGAATAGTTTGCAAGTCTTTGAATAGTTTGTTATCTTCACTCGATACGGTGGATGTGGCTTCCATTGGATTCATGTGTCCGGAAATGATTTCATAAACCTATTTGCATAGTGATGCAGATCGTATCCTACTATACATGACACATGTGATGGAAAACCAAAAATCTAAGCAGTTCATCTTATGCCCATACCATGAAAAGTATAAACTTTGAACTTGTACTTATTTGAACTTTGAAAATTGTTGATATTATTTTACTCTTTTACAAATGTGTGTCTAATTTATTATGTAGGAATCATTGGGTTCTTTTGGTCTTATGCATGGCTAAGAGTGAAGTCATCTTCTTTGATTCTTTGAGGCAGAAGCGAAATTTAGCAATTAAGTTTGCAATGACAAAGTAAGTTTAGTTTGTTATTAATGTCATGATTTTATGTGTGTAAGGATATTATATATGTTATTTGTTTCAAATGTGTAGTGCTTTTCGAAGTTTCAAGGCATTAAGTGGACAATCTAGGGGAAGTAAATTGACATGGCATTTGGGACAGGTTACCTTAATTTCTTACCCAACTTTTAGTTTCTTAATTATTTAAGTATAGCAATTTAATTCAACTTATAAATATATTACATGTAGTGTCCTCAACGATTGGGTGGACGTGAGTGTGGCTACTACGTCATGCGTTATATGTACGAAATACTTTAACATCACCAAAGCAGTGAGGATCTTATTCAGGTATGAGTTGTCAAATATTTCATTTTTTTTTTTATAAATACAATTTGATGTTAGCTACAATCTTGAATTAAAACTTTCCTCTTGTATATTTGTTGTGTTGATAGGATTTTTCAAGAACTACACCGTACACTGAGGAGCAGATAAATAAGATTCAAGATATTTGGGAAGAGTATTTTATATATAATGTTGAACTTTAGATTTACACTTAGCGCATGTTGGACTCTTGTTTTGGATTATAGGCTTGACATGAATGATTTTAGTTAATTGGTGTTGGGATGATGAGTATAATGTCTATGATATTGAGATGTAAATTATTGGACAGGTTGTTAATATAATGCCGTCATTCCCAATTTCATGCGTAGGCCAAAATACAAAGGAGACTGCCGAAATTTACATTTGCATTATTCAATAATATTGCATTTTAATTTCAATTATATTAGCGTTAGCATATAACTTTATACCACTAGCAAGGAAAACAGGTACTACAAACATATACAAGGCAATTATTATAATTAAAAAAATCACCTCATTTGCGTCACTCATTAAACAAACAAGTGACGCAAATAAATCAATTTTTTTGGTCTAGTCAATCATTTGCGTCACTCCTATATAAACAAGTGACGCAAATAAGAAACAAGAAGTTCATCAGAAGAGTCATTTGCGTCGCTCCTTTATAAAAGAGTGACGCAAATAAGAGTCATTTGCGTCACTGCTTTATAAAGGAGCGACGCAAATGACTATTATTTGCGTCGCGCCTAGGAGCGACGCAAATGACTTTTAAATCATTTGCGTCGCAAGCAGTTGCGTCGCTCATCGAAGCGACGCAAATACACTATAAATGAGCGACGCAAATGAGCCTTTTCTACTAGTGTAACGCCGATACTTGCAAACTAGCGTTAGTTAAAACAGATAAGAGAGTTAAGAAACGCGTATCTTGCACCATCGAGCACACGTCCCTGAAGGTAACCGATTTGTTGCTTTGTCGTTGTGACAACCTTCCACAAGCTAGGGAACGCCATCCTGCTGTTTTTATGTTGCTATGTCCACGCGTCTCTGAAAAAAGAGCTTTGACAATCTTCCTCACGATAAGGGATACCGCCTGAAGACTGCTACGCCTATAACTGCCTCCAATTTCCGCTGTGATAGTCTTTGAAAGACCACTGCTTATTTGTCCTTAATGCTACTTGAATTTTGCTATTGATGCTTTTGGTGATGATAATCCTCTTTTCTTTGGGAATAGTTGCCAACACAACTCTGGTATGATGTATGACAATCCTATTTAGGGAAAGTTTTCCATGCTTCGTAACAATCCATCCTTGGAAATGTTGCCACGATGAAGCGACAATCCGTATCTCGGAAAAATTTGCCAAAATCCAATTTTTGGGAAAAGTTGCCAATGCTTCGTAACAATCTATCATAAGAACTTTGCTACGATCGACAATCCACATCTTGGAATATAACTCTTGAAAGAATCCACCTTGTAAATTTGCCAATGCTATGCGACAATCCTTTTAGGAAAATATTGCCACAATTGACAATCCGCGTCTTGCAACATTTGCAAAAAAGAGTCGATCGACAATCCACTACGGGAAAATTTTCCACTTGAAATGAATGACAATCCACGTTGAAGAACCTTTGCCGAAATTTATGTGAGTAGACCTACGACAATCCTTTGGGAAATTTTTCCATAGGGAGCTATGTGTATGACAATCCAATCTCGGAAAATTTGCCAGCGATGACAATCAGAACTTTGGAAAAAATTTCCAAACACAGAAGGAGCAGGACAACCCACGCTTGGAAACTTTTCCAGAGATGACAATCCAATCTTGGAAAAATTGTCGTTTAAGAAGAATGCGCGACAATACATATTTGGAAATATTGTCAATTGGGGATGACAATCCAATATTGGAAAAATTGTCGTATAAGTGCTTGCTTTAGAACCGATGCCTTAGTACTTGTAATGAGCCAATGCTTAGGCGCTTAAGCTAAGTGAGACGATTGTCTTCAAGTCAATCACTTACTGCGATTGTAATCAAGCCGACTACTAATCATGTCAATTTGCTTATAGGGGCCACCTGGCGTACCAAAGAACTCGATCAATTAATATGACCGCCGTCAGGCCGATTGACAATCAAATATGATTGCAATCAAGCTGACTCTAGTTAATTTGCTAAGTTGTTTGTGTCCTTTTGCTTCAAACCTTTTGTAAAGCTTACCCGTCTATCTGGGATTTATTGTACCTGCATTTACATTTTGGACTATAGGACTTTGCTCATGTAATTAGGGTCGACCTAAGACTTAGTGTTTCTTGACTCATTGACTTGACATGACTCAAGGTATAAACTTGACTTAATGATGACTCACTCCGTGTGACTCGTGTGTGCATAGTGTTGACTCCATGTGATAACACGACATGACTCAATGTGTACATGAATCGTGTGTGCATTGTAATGTGATCGTACGACTCAAAAATGCAAAAAAGCAAAAATTTTCCGTCATTTTTGTGGAAGGTACCGACTTTCTCCCGAAAAAGAAAGACACGAAAAAAGAAAGAAGCAAGCGAAGTTTTTGAAGGTGCATGTTGAATGAGCTTAATCCGTTAACGTTGTCTCTCACAGTACAAGGATTGTAACACCTTAGACTATCCTAGTTGAAAGTATTTAGGTAACTTAGGCGCGGAGGCTAAGTATTTCATATATTTTTGATGTAATGATGATTGATCTTGATATGACAAGGCATGGTTCAGCGTTGTGTTAAGATTTCATGACAAAGGGTTCTTAAGGAAAGTATATTCGGTCATGTATTTGTGTAGTGTGTGAAAGTGACACTAAGGTTAGGCCACAAAGTCTAAGTGTATTGAAAGATATTATTTTGAGAAGAGCCAAAAGATGTGACTCTTAAGCTAGGTAGGTTAACAATGTAGGGATCAAGCCCCCAAGTCTAGCTCTATGTGAATAAGGATGAGCATAGGAGATCCCCTTGATATGATTAATTATGAATGTAAATAAGAATATATTTTTATTACGGTCGTACCCCTTTGTGAGGTTGCCTACGTATCCGTTAGGAATCAGGCCCAACGTAGCTCTAGCCGAACCTCGCACAAGTGTGTGTGTGTATACCTCAAAAAGGTATTTTTTAAGGGTTGTAACGTGGTTAGGCTAAAGGTTGAAGAAGAAAGGGATAAAAGCTCAAGACCCTAGATAAGCCCTCAAGGTGTGAAACTTTTCTTTTGAATATTTGTATTTTTATGCTTGAGGTTTCTCACTATTTTTTAGCTCTTTTTTTCCTTTTTTTTTTTTTGCTTTTGCATTTTTTTATTTTGAACCTTTTTTTATAAGTGTGGGCAATTTCGATCATGCGGTCTATCACTCACTTGGCATTCATGTTTCTCAGGCACGGTACCGAGCACTCGATAAGAAATGTAATCTGAGACGTATTCATATCAAAGGTATGTTCATGTCAAAGACATTGGAACACTTGACCTTTTGTACACTTTTATTGTTTTTTTTTTTTTGCTTATTTTTTGCTATTTTAATCTTTTGAAGTCACTCAAGCTTTTTATGAAATTGAAAATTGCATAAGTTGCACACCATCCCATCCCAAAGTTAGTAGATATGGGTTGAAAAATGAAAGGTCTATCGTTAGACGAGGCTCAAAGTGGTTAGTAAAAAAAGGATTGCATATTTGAAGGGTGAAAGGTGATATGATGTGGCTACAAGGGGTGCCTCAAATCATTGGTATATCTTGTGCCTCAAATCATTTATTTTTTTTGACGCAATGATCATATGCAAGAAAATAAATGCTCATTTTTATTAAAGGGAAAAAGAAAAAACCTACAAAATAAATCTAAGGGAAACAAAAAAAAAAAGAGCCTACGCTAGACTTATTGGGGAAAGGAAAAAAATGAAAAAGAAATAGAAAACGAGGTCATGAAATCTTGTCGTTGACGCTTGCCTCTTATCTTGTGTCGTTTGCTTCATCGTCACCCAGTCTTCTCGCTAACTAGAGGAAATGGGATCTTGTTTGGTTCTATGAGATCTTGAATGAGATTTTAAAACCTGTAGCATTCATCGGTGGTATGACCATTTCCTTGATGGTACTTGCAATAGGAATTAGGATCCCATCTTTAAGATCGCTTTTCTGGTGTTGGATCTTTGGTAAGGCCAATAGGTTTGATTAATCCTCGATCATAGGGACGATCAAAAGCAGCATCATAGGTCATTCCAATGGGTGTGAACTCCCTTTTGGGTTTCCTTTTAGATCCTTGATTATCCATGGCTAAGACACCGTTATTGTTAAAGGTACTAACATTGTTATTAGAGTGGGCGTTTTCGGAAGAAGAAGGATTGTCGTTCTTCTTTCCTTTTTAGCCAATGTGGTTACTATTGTTAGTAGCTTTTTGCTTTACGAGGTTATCTTCGATTTCTATACCGATATCATAGACGGCCTTAAAAGTATTCAAATTATGTTGATATTTTAAATGCTTCGAATACGTCTCTTGGAGATTCTTGATAATCACTTTAGGGAATATTTCAAGCATTACCCCTAACTTGAACCCCACTGTGATCATACAATAAAATACGGTGGCATCCAAAGGGAAAGAAGATAGAGCAAAAGAGTCGCCAACAAGTTTTAGGAACTTGTAAACCATTCACGAGGTGAAGGTTACACCCCTTAACGATCCAGGAGATCGTCAACTCCAATAGGTCTGGAACCATGACTGGTAGTTCGGGGATGAAGGTACAAATCCAACCTAAAAGGGATTGAACCTGCCCTAATAATAGGCCTCTACTTTATTCTGATCGTATTCATGTGCGCTTTCTTACTAACATGCAATCATTAAATTTAACCCTAAACCTGTTTAATCTATGTTGGTTGAATATTAAAGCACAAATAAAACTATTATTGGCGATCACTTGAATTATAATCAAATTAACCCTAAACAAGGTTATTAATCATCTTATATAAGCGTGATTACAAGTACCAATTCCCTTTAAACATGCATAAAAGGCGTGATCAAGCAATAACAATAAATATTAAGCAACATTAATATAATAACAATGACGATAATAATAATAATAATAATAATAATAATAATAATAATAATAATAATAATAATAATAATAATAATAATAATAATATTAATAATAATAATAATAATAATAATAATAATAATCATATTAAAGCATAATAATATTAATAGCAAGATCCTAGGCATGATACTAACAAGATTAATAACAAACCCTAGCATGTCACTAAGCAATAAAGATCAAATATATAGCCCTAACATGATACTAACATGTTATTAGGAAAAAAATAGGAAGCATCATATGAATCATATTAAACATGTTTGATATTATAACATTTTCCCTAAACATAATACTAGGAATCATAATAACAACCTAAACATGATATCTACATTATAATAACA